TAATAAATCTGCTTATATATTTAAATATATTCTTCATTATGATATATAATCTGTTTATCTTCATTTGATATGAAAGATATAATCCTTAATTTTATTTTAAAAATTTTGGCATTACAACTTAATTTCAAAACCGTGTACAAAATATATAAATTATTTTCATGATTTAACTAAATTATATTTGATAAAATNTTATTGGTGGAGAATATGTATAATAATTCAATTGATCGTGAGATGAAAAATTTACAGGAGTCAAAATTTCACCCATGGTATATAGTTAATTTAAATTTCCCTCCAGCAAGTAATTATATTCATTATAAAATACCATTTGGTATCAAAAGATTTTATATGCAGATCAGATTAAACAGTTTTTATATTATAGTTGAAGAAAATTATTTGGATATCAGGAATAAACAATGTAAGCTGTGTAATGACCAAATTTCTGTATATCATATAATTAGCTTGTGCAAAGGTTGTTCCAAACTTAGAGAACAGACTGGTATTTCCACCTTGTCAGCCATCAAATCTATGCAAGAATTCTACCAAACAATATTTCAGATGGGTCCATTTATGATTATCAGAATTTATCAGTTCATTATTAAATGTATTAAAACGGTGGAGAGCCTTAATGAATGACATATATATTTAATTTTGTTGCTGTTCTAACTTTTGTTTAATATTATAATAGATTGATTAAATTTAAGAATAGAAGATAACTTACATAATAATTATTTATTGTCGGAAGATATTATATATTTACTAATATTTGTAACCCAATGCACCCCTTGTAACTGGAATTTTTTCCAAATTACGTTAGTAAACTTGAATTGAATTGAATTGAATAATTAATGTAGAAATATTTAAATAATACAAAAATATCTCATCAAAGTACTAAATAAACAATAAATTTAAATTCAGAAGAAAACACATACCAAAAAATCATAAAAACTATTTACACCGATATGTTTATGAGATATTATTCATCATTAGAAATTTAAATTTGCAACTTTAAGAATTTTGAATGTAATTGAAACATTTATTTTTTGAACATAAAAACTGCAAAACATCTGAATTTTGAATATGATTCTGTAACAACATATTGTAGGTATTTGCAACAAATGCAAGTTTAAATCGCTGATGATAGGATGTCACGTTCGGAAAATATTCGATATAAACAATCCTTCTGATCCTTGAATAAGGTTTGTTATTGTTCTGAAATATACTATTGGATCGTTATTTCCTACTTCTGAAAATTTAAATTCTATTTTCAAGTTTAGATAGAATTTTACATATGAGAAATCTGCTTGATTTTGTAGCATTATTAATATATAAGATTTAACTCGTATATTGAAAAATCTGTAATTAAATAATATTATAAATAATTATGATATACGCTTACATATTACATATCGCAGATATTTAGTATGTGAGTGTATATAATCATTATAAAAATATAATAAGCATATATGCAGATATACATGAAATATAAAGAACATTTGTATGAATAATATAATATAAAAAATAATACTTAACATTGAAATAAAAAAATATTCTTTTCAGTTCTACTATTTTTATTAAATAATAATAAAATTTACTTATAGCGAAAATATGAATATTAATAACAATTAGATGAATTTCAATTAAAATTAGTTTATTTATTATAATAAAATTCCAATAAAAATTATTTAATATTTAAGTATCATAAAAAATTAATGTTAAAAAATAAACTTATAAAATATTAAATGTAAAAATAAAAAGATTTAATTTTTAATTAAATTAAATTTATATCATGAAATTATTAATGAAAATGTCTCCAAGAGAATGATTAGGGATTAACTTTTAATCGATTTTTAAATTTAAACTATTCCCTAGCCGTTTTTAAAACGAAAAATGAAAAGAAAAAATTATGTTATGAACTGAATAAATAAATAAATTATTTCATTACACGAACATCATTCATCATCATCCAGTAAAATCCAAGAATTTACCTGCCTGGTGATTGTAACTGTAAGGTTTGATGACGTAAGCCAACCGTCTTCGACTTGAATGGTTTCTGTCTCTCCACCTTTAACCTGCGAACCATCTATTACCCAAGACATCTGTGCTGGTGGATTGCTAGGATCACTCTGGCAATGCAACGTAATTGTTTCTCCTCGAGTAGCTTCTACTGGTCCTGATACATTCAGTTTTGTTGGAGGAACTATGAAAATAATTTATATTCATTTTCAATAAACATTGTAAAATGTATAATATTGACATATTTATTTTGTTTACTATTATATTTTTGTCTATAAATTTCTTATATACTGTTTTTAAATAAAACGTACATAAAACTTTCAACTTGATGGACGTCGCCATTGCAGGCATTGTGTCACTATTGATAGCCTCACAACGGTAAATCGCTCTGTTATCGTCCGCTGCGACAGTAAATGCGTAAGTATTAGTTGACTCTTGGCCACTACTTGAATAGGTTATGTCAATAACTTCGTCATTCCTGTACCAAATAATTTTTGGAGTGGGTCTTCCTCCTCGTGAGATACATACAAGAGATAATTTTTCTCCAACGTGTACAACATCCCCCTCTAGAGGCAGATACAATAATGAAATAGTTTGAGAATACAATTCTTCTTTATAAAATAGTTTTATTTTTACGACAGAAGTGTGAAATTCATCTAATTAATTTCATCTGTATATTGCTGTTATAATTATTCTGCTTATAAACTTCATTAGTAAAATTATATCGGTTATTTAATACGATAGTCATCGAGAATGTTAAATGTATTGTCCTCAGTTATACGTAGGTGAATGATCTTAGTATATATTAGTAGATCTACTGATTATTACAAAATATTACACAGATTATAAATTGTTTTTTATATAAATAATATAATATTTTTGTTATTTAATTCAAATTCATTGTGTCATTTAATTTAAAATGTTTATCGTGCTATCGTCTTTCCTAAACAGAAAAATATTTTATATTGTGCATTAGAAAAAAATATTTTTTCTTATAATGAGAAATACTGTATATCTACAGAGTACCTATATATTTTTCATACTCCGACAAATTATAATTAATATATCAACTAAAGAACTATCAAAACAACTGGTAGGCCTATAACAAACTTAGGATCAAATTGGCAAGTTATGGTTTGTCTCATTTAACTATTTAACAGTACAGAAACAGACAGGAATTACGGAATTTCTTTATTGGTGGAAAATATGTATAATAATTGAATTGATCGTGAGATGAAAAATTTACAGGAGTCAAAATTTCACCCATGGTATATAGTTAATTTAAATTTCCCTCCAGCAAGTAATTATATTCATTATAAAATACCATTTGGTATCAAAAGATTTTATATGCAGATCAGATTAAACAGTTTTTATATTATAGTTGAAGAAAATTATTTGGATATCAGGAATAAACAATGTAAGCTGTGTAATGACCAAATTTCTGTATATCATATAATTAGCTTGTGCAAAGGTTGTTCCAAACTTAGAGAACAGACTGGTATTTCCACCTTGTCAGCCATCAAATCTATGCAAGAATTCTACCAAACAATATTTCAGATGGGTCCATTTATGATTATCAGAATTTATCAGTTCATTATTAAATGTATTAAAACGGTGGAGAGCCTTAATGAATGACATATATATTTAATTTTGTTGCTGTTCTAACTTTTGTTTAATATTATAATAGATTGATTAAATTTAAGAATAGAAGATAACTTACATAATAATTATTTATTGTCGGAAGATATTATATATTTACTAATATTTGTAACCCAATGCACCCCTTGTAACTGGAATTTTTTCCAAATTACGTTAGTAAACTTGAATTGAATTGAATTGAATAATTAATGTAGAAATATTTAAATAATACAAAAATATCTCATCAAAGTACTAAATAAACAATAAATTTAAATTCAGAAGAAAACACATACCAAAAAATCATAAAAACTATTTACACCGATATGTTTATGAGATATTATTCATCATTAGAAATTTAAATTTGCAACTTTAAGAATTTTGAATGTAATTGAAACATTTATTTTTTGAACATAAAAACTGCAAAACATCTGAATTTTGAATATGATTCTGTAACAACATATTGTAGGTATTTGCAACAAATGCAAGTTTAAATCGCTGATGATAGGATGTCACGTTCGGAAAATATTCGATATAAACAATCCTTCTGATCCTTGAATAAGGTTTGTTATTGTTCTGAAATATACTATTGGATCGTTATTTCCTACTTCTGAAAATTTAAATTCTATTTTCAAGTTTAGATAGAATTTTACATATGAGAAATCTGCTTGATTTTGTAGCATTATTAATATATAAGATTTAACTCGTATATTGAAAAATCTGTAATTAAATAATATTATAAATAATTATGATATACGCTTACATATTACATATCGCAGATATTTAGTATGTGAGTGTATATAATCATTATAAAAATATAATAAGCATATATGCAGATATACATGAAATATAAAGAACATTTGTATGAATAATATAATATAAAAAATAATACTTAACATTGAAATAAAAAAATATTCTTTTCAGTTCTACTATTTTTATTAAATAATAATAAAATTTACTTATAGCGAAAATATGAATATTAATAACAATTAGATGAATTTCAATTAAAATTAGTTTATTTATTATAATAAAATTCCAATAAAAATTATTTAATATTTAAGTATCATAAAAAATTAATGTTAAAAAATAAACTTATAAAATATTAAATGTAAAAATAAAAAGATTTAATTTTTAATTAAATTAAATTTATATCATGAAATTATTAATGAAAATGTCTCCAAGAGAATGATTAGGGATTAACTTTTAATCGATTTTTAAATTTAAACTATTCCCTAGCCGTTTTTAAAACGAAAAATGAAAAGAAAAAATTATGTTATGAACTGAATAAATAAATAAATTATTTCATTACACGAACATCATTCATCATCATCCAGTAAAATCCAAGAATTTACCTGCCTGGTGATTGTAACTGTAAGGTTTGATGACGTAAGCCAACCGTCTTCGACTTGAATGGTTTCTGTCTCTCCACCTTTAACCTGCGAACCATCTATTACCCAAGACATCTGTGCTGGTGGATTGCTAGGATCACTCTGGCAATGCAACGTAATTGTTTCTCCTCGAGTAGCTTCTACTGGTCCTGATACATTCAGTTTTGTTGGAGGAACTATGAAAATAATTTATATTCATTTTCAATAAACATTGTAAAATGTATAATATTGACATATTTATTTTGTTTACTATTATATTTTTGTCTATAAATTTCTTATATACTGTTTTTAAATAAAACGTACATAAAACTTTCAACTTGATGGACGTCGCCATTGCAGGCATTGTGTCACTATTGATAGCCTCACAACGGTAAATCGCTCTGTTATCGTCCGCTGCGACAGTAAATGCGTAAGTATTAGTTGACTCTTGGCCACTACTTGAATAGGTTATGTCAATAACTTCGTCATTCCTGTACCAAATAATTTTTGGAGTGGGTCTTCCTCCTCGTGAGATACATACAAGAGATAATTTTTCTCCAACGTGTACAACATCCCCCTCTCTATATCCTTGAATTTTTGGTATTCCTGGAGGATCTGAATAATAACGCCAGTACGTATAAACTATAAAGCTAAGTTTGAATAATTTAAAATATAGGTAAGAAACTAACATAGAACACCAACTGCCACTGTAGTTCTCATGGGTTGTACAAGAGCTTGATGATGAGCTTCACATGTATACGAAACACCAGTATTTTCTAATTTAGGATAAAGATTTATCGAACTCGAAGTAGTGTATCTCTTATTCTCTTCTCTTCTTATAGTTAATTTTGCAGCTTCTGAAAAATTGAAAACTTCACATATTCAATATTTATAAATTCCTATTTTTATTTTTTATTTATTAAAATTTTCGTATTAAACTTTGATTTGATAGAAATTCTGTTGGGAAATAAATCTTACAAAAATATTTATAAATAAAGAATATTAAATATGAATTATAAGTTATATTTAAATTTTCAATTTTTATTATAAGTTATTATTTTTAATTTCAAATCATAAAGAAAAAAATCAATTTTTCAAAGTATATTTTTATTAAAAATGCAAAACTTGAAAAAATTTTTAAAATTAATTTTAAGATAAGCCTATATTTTAAGCAATAACTTTGAAAATATAGAATGTTTGAAATTTAAAAAATTGAAAGAAAAGCATTGATATAAATAAAAGTAATATTTATTATGTTATTTTGCTTTTATAATACCTTCTCAACTTCTAACAATATTTAAAAACTAATAATATTTTTAATTAATAAGATCTAACCTGGGACTAATTCCATGTATCTTCTGTACCATTTCAATTCAACTGGAGGTTTGCTTCCAGAAGCAGAACAAACAAGAGAAAGCTTTTCTCCTTCTCTCACCATCGCTTCCTCTCCATCTTGTAAATTGTTAATTGTCAACATCTTGGGCGGAACTGTAAAGTTTTTTACACATATCATAATAAAATTATAGTCTTTGTCTCTCTCAATTTACATATATAACTTACAATTATCAATTATACTTTAAACGTACCTAGGACGGTAAGACGAGCTCTAGCTCTAATGGGCTTTTGATTATGTCCTGGTCCCACCTTTATAACGAATGAAGTATATAAATAATAAATTTAAAATTTGTAAAAATTAAGTTATTATATTAATATTTAATTAACAAATTACCTGACACTGAAATTCTCCTTCATCTTCTAATTGTGCATTTTCAATTTGCAAACTATATATACCTTGTATGACATCCGACATCATTTTATATCTTGGATATCCGGGAATTTCTGGATCAAAACCTTAAAATTACATTCATTAAAGTTATATATCTAGAAATAATTATAACTTACGTAAACACTTTGAATATCATTCTTCAAATGAATTTTGTCGTCGTATTAAATACTGTACTTTGCTAAATTAGTAAATTAAATATTTTTTGCAAAAATATGTAAGAAGATTAAAATTGTTGTCATTTTAACATGCTTTTAGCTATATAGCTTTCAAAATATTTAAAAATAGTCTGCATTTGTCGTTTCTGTTAAAAATTCTTAATTAAACATGGCTTTTATTTTCAACTTTTATTCATTTTTACGTGAAAATAAAAATAACTAGCATTACAAAAAACAAAAAATATTATAATTAGCTACTTTAATTTAAATTTAGTAAATGTAGCTTAATAGACGCCAATGAATGCCGTGTTAAAATATAGAAGTTCTTACCCATAATCATTTATAAAAGGGGATTAATAGATAGGGATGTAAGTGTCAAATCATATTTAGTAGCTAACACAATGTAATCCTGTCGAATATTATCCCATAAATACGGCGATAGAATTGCATTAACGATATTACAAGCTTTAATCAAGTTCTTTGTTTAACTTCATTTCTTAACGGCATTATATATTAATAAGAACGACAATTACTTTGATACATTTGTGAAGTCGAGCGTTGAAATCACTGATTAGTTATTCATAAGACACTATTGCATGTACTGTACACTTTATAAATTTTAATTACATGAATGTATATATAAAGCTCAATTTCATAATTTTTAGAAGCACTTGCCTTTGTATAAGTATATGTAATAGTATTTCTGTATAAATTTATTAAGTGAAACAGTCTTGAGTTTATTTTACATTAATAAAGTGATGTAAAATCTTTATGCATTTGTTTTTAATTTATATATATTTTATTTTCAGTATAAAAAAAATTAAAAACTTTCTTAAATATATTTGCAAAAAGTATAATTAGAAAATTCTAGCAAGTATTCTAAAATAATATATTTCTAAATTAATTTTATAATATAGATTATTATTTATAATGTTCAATAACAATAATCGCGTACATTTACTGGTCATGGTATTAAAAATTATTTAGAGACAATTAAAATAATTTTTATAATATAGTTTTTATATAAATTTATAAGACTGAATGTACATTATGATTTTTTAATCCTTTATGAAATACAAATTTATAAATAAGTACGCCCACAAATGTTTAATAAGCAAATAATCTAAATAAATGATTTGTTTTCTGTTTGAAAATCGCAAAACACGTTCCACTCTCAGATGACTAAGCATCTCATATAAAACTATTTGTTTACTCAATGATGATGCAATCTTCAGCATTTTGTTTTAACAATTAAATAAATTTCAGGCGTGTTGCCTCTTATTATTCACAATTCTTTTTACACTTTTTTCATAAAAAATATATAAACAAGTGATGGAAAGCCACATGCCCGAAATGAATATCATTTAAATAGTGTGCTGCAAATTAAATTATAAATAAATAAATGATTTACGTGTGTAAAGTAAATCATTAAAATGTGCAACATGTTTTTATGTTTGTCCAACAAAAAATACAAAGAAAACGTATAAATTTAGTTCAAGATAACAGAAGAACTAAGTAAATAAATTTTATCAACTTATTTTAGATATTTATAAATACAATATTCAAATAATATAATATAATTTTCAATAATTTCATATTTGCATTATATTACCAGATATGTTAAGAATTTTGTCCTTTGGCACACTGTATAAATTAGATTAACATAACAATCTATATTTGTGTTTACTTATTTCATAAAGTATTCCTTGCAGGACTGATATCTGTAAACATATCCAAATTCGCATAAATTTTTATACAAATAATATGATCATCAGTTGTTTTGAAAAAGAATTTAAGTAATTTTGAAAATTATGTGTAACTAGAGATCGGAAATTACTAATATATCATTCGTAAACATGAAAATGAATACATTTTTCATCTTTTTTATCTTTTATTCGTCATTTTTACATAATATATCGGAAATTTTTTACTCTTTCTACAGCAGTTATATCTTTCTATATACTGTAATTCTAGATTAAAAACTTAAAAAAGTTAAAGTAATCTTAATAAGAAAACATAATAGTTAATATACAGAATAAATCTAGAAATTATATGTACTTTGTAATAGAAAAATTAAGTCCAAATATCTAACAGTATATGTAAATGAGATACCTATTTATTACTATAATTAATGTAGTTATAACGATCTTGAATCTTGAGCCTATCTCTTTCAAAATATAATATATTACTAATGAAGCATGTTTACAAAATGAGCTATCACAACGATCATTAAATAAATGTTTAGGAAATTTTCGATAAATTAATGCTAATTTCTAAACATATTTTATCAGAAAATTTTCACAAACACTTAAATTATACAAGTACATTTGATAATATAATTTTTTTAATGATGCCAAAGTGCTTAAAACGCGGTCAAAGACGACTTCCAGTTTCACTTCTTTCAATTACAATAAAATATTTATTTCCATAAATATTTTTATTTACGGAATCCAAAATATTATACATTATATGATTATTATACAATCATTAACTATCGAACTATTCAAAGTGGCAGATCGGAGAAATCATCTGGCACGTAACGTATCATACGATTTTGGATCATCAGCCTTCTTTTTCAATAATTCTTTCGGTTTATCACCCGATCATTATTTTTTCAATAACTTCTTCGCATTTATTCTAATTAAAGCATTTATTCATTTCATTTCTTTAAATATCGTTATTTGAAGTCTGGAACTGCGACACCATATGCATTTTTAAAGATTTGTACTCTTACTATACGGCACGTGGACTCAAAAAGATGCGCCATCCTGCATTAGGGGATCACATATAATGATAACCAAATGTTTATATTCTATTATCTGTAATATAGCGGGTTTTTAATGTTGTGTATTTTGAATAATTTTACATAATATAAACGAAATATTTCATCGTATTATACGCATTAAAATGAAAAGAATATAAAAATTTTATATTGGCTTTATTTTAGAAATTATAATAAATATTAAATTATATCGTAAGAATATGCAACATCATAACTGAAATATGTAATAATATAATTATGAAACATTGGGAAATTTTCATAAAATTATTTCACAATTAATTTAAAATATACATTCCTCAACTATCAAGTATGTATTTAATATATCTTTTGTTAAGTAACGATTTTGATATATAATACATTCCAATATATATTCTATAGCTTATTTAAATTTTTAAAATTTTTTAAAAACTTTTCCTCGAATCTTAAGTGATGGTAATACTTAATACTTCTTCGTATTCTTTTCTACTATAAAAATTGAACTGCAAAACGTAATAATATTGTCTATCTAACTATTACAGAGCAGCGTAAAGTCGAAAGAAACTGCAAATAAACAATTGAAAGACAATTTTGTTAACACCAAATAAAATTGAGTGGGAAAAAGAACGATTTTAGTGAACTATAGTTTTCCATTGAGATTGAAAACTATCAATACATTATTTACCCTAAGACAGCTGCCAACTAACTTGCTAAGTTTTTAATTTTTATACTTTTATTCTTTATATTTTTAAAATTTTCTGTTTTTAGTGGCTGAATGCGTACACAATTTATTTTTCTTTAATGTATTTTTATTTTTATATAATGTATAAATTATCAAACGTACGATTTAGTTCACTTTTAAATTAAAGGAAAAAATTGCCAGCTAAATTTAACAATAAATCGACGAAACATTAACATTATTGATAAACATTTAAGCGATGACAAAAAGAAATTATTTTATTTAATAAAACATTCTACATATCTTAAAAAATCGTATTTTAGCTTAAATGGAATTGAAATATAAAGTAAGTTTTATGAAAAAATATTTTGAAAACATCGTATAAGCACGAAAAACTAAAAATTTCCTAAAACTTTTAGATGTTGTCGGGATAAAAATCGTCTGGCAAACGGTTTTCCCGCGCTTTTCCAATCGTTGGACGAACGACGGTTGTCGCCATAGGAACAGCAATCGGACCACTTTTGAAAATTCGACCGCTCATTGGTTGAGAGACATCACGCCATCGGCGGACGTCTTGTAGAGCTGCTAAGTGCTGATTGGTGGAATCCAATTCTGCTTCAATCCTATAAAAGGATTGAGTTGTGGCGGGAAGTTCAGTTCACCGTGGACTCAGAAAGTGGACTCACGTTTGGTCTTAGTTCGCCTAAGCTGGTCCCGAAGCTTGTCTCGTCTCGTTGGACTGTAAATGACTTTAGAGTTAGTTCGTTGCAAGGTGTCTTTTCGACGGACCTGTTGTAGTGGATAAATGTGATGAACTTTGTTATTAATTAACGTTTTGTAAATGTTTGTTTTGTGAACTTTGTAACTGTACATACGTTTATTTTCAATATATATATATCGTTTGAAGTTAACTGGCGTATGTGTGGTATTTTGAACTTTACTGATGTTTTCTTTGATCATTCATAAATGCCTCAAGAGTTTATTCAAATGTTCTCTTGTCCTAATCATAAAACGTTCCTATTATTTAAATAAATAATAGGAACGTTTAAATAAATAAATAATTTTTCTACAGGAACATTATAAAAATATACATAAATATATATTTAGAGGGCTTAAATAATTTGCTATACAAAAATAAACAAGTTTTTATTTAAAATAATATTTAAATATATACATAAATTTTGGTAATAAATTTCTATAATTGTTGATAATAAATATATATAAACAAATATACTACTCAAAAACTAAATTGTTGATCAGACACAATTGTTCTATAATTTAAACTATAGTCTTAACAAGGGGCGGCAAAATTATGCAAAATTTTCTTCAAAATATAATAAAAATAATAGTTTAAAATATTCAGCAGCAGAAATCTCATTAAATTATTTTCGAATATTTTTGTTTTTTTCTATGAATTTTTAAATGTTTCTTATTTTATTTTTGTTAAAAATTAATGAGTTTTTATGTTTACTT